CTAGTGTTAACATATTATCCAAATAAGAGGTGGATTACTCTAATTCACCCCATCAGCCATAACAGACTGATGGGGTATTGTCATCAGCTCGCTGGGCGGGCAGGCGCTTGGCATGAACACCTAAGATTGTGACACCACAGGTGCATCTACGAATGATCTCAGACAAGTTCAAATCACACTGGCTGGCAGTGTGCTGGCAAAGATTGTTGAAGATTTCTGTTTTTACCTGTGCCTGATACAGTAAGAGCTCAGCGACACTGAGCTCAAGCTCAGACATACAGCTGTGCAAAGCTGTGATGTGCTGAGATCTTGATGAAGGCAAATCACTTTCATCAGCTGCTCCTGTTTGTTACACACATCCTGGTGCACAAGAGACAGCAGCGGCTAACAGAAGGGACAAAGTGTGTCAAGTTTTCAAAATAAAAGCCCTCAGTTTCCTAATAGAAGGAAAATGTGCTTCAGACACTTTTGGATTTTCAAAATATAAGCCCTTAGTGTTATACAGGAAGTTCTTTTATTCACTACAGGTATGTGTGTTGATTTTCAAAATAAAAGTAATGGGACAGTCATTATAAGAATTTCACAGGATTGTCCCTTTTTCATAACAAAGGCCTCTGCTTATTGGTTGATGCTGTGAAATGTTCAGTATAAGCCACTGTCAGCAATGTGTGCTACTCAGTCCTTCGTAGAGTCCTCCGTCACTCTTTATGAACTGCAGTCAGCTGGAAGATGTTGCATCATGTTTTTTATTGTTGCACAGGTTTTACCCAAATTCATGCTTTACTGGTATTACATTTAGCAATGACTGTACTGCTTAAACAGTTATAAGGTTATATGTCCTTGTATTATTTATTATGTTTTAATTCATTTTCAAAACTTTGCATGCTGTTTTTTTTGCATCACAAATTCAGAAGTGGTGTTCTGGAAGTTATGGTGAGAAAACATGCAAAAATATGCCAATATTAATATAATATTAATATAATATTAATATAATATTAATATAAGCCACTAGGGTGTGATGTGTTCTGTAAACACAGGCTGGTGAAAGCGGCTCACCGCTGATGCTGTCTGTCAGTGAAACTGATTTATGGCTCAGTCGTGTTATGAAGATTCATTTGTAAACAGTCCCATCTGTCACTCAGGGAGTCCATCAACAGCCTGAAGAGGAAGTACTCTCAGTCATCAGAGCCCACTGACAGTGATGCTGCCATAGAGAGGACGCTCAATGAGGTGGCAAAGGAGGGTTGTCAGTTCCTATTAGATGAAGTTTTCCTTGATCTTGAGGTAAAAAAACAAAGTATATTTTTAATAATACTATACTTACGACATGTTTATATCTTGTTTGTTGTATTTCTAGTTTCATTTTCTATAAAACAAAACAAAAAAAAACTCCGGTCTGATATTGTAATCAGATTTTTATTAAATATATTATAAAAGGATGCCAGTCGTGTTCATTGAATGCACGGAGCCTGAAAGTAGTGTTTGACTGTTTGGGTGGTCCAGAAAACACGCCTGTCACGTTCAGTCCACGGCTTTCAGAGGAAGTACTTTCTCTAGTCTTGCAGCGAAGCATTTAGCTACTATTTTGGTGTCCACTTCAAAGGAATATAGGTGTTTATAATGACATTTAAATCCATTATATATTTCCTGTTGATCAATAAGAGACAAATGAATCTGCTGTATATTAGGTGTTGTTGCTTCGAGGGTCTTTGAGCGAGTAAATGAGCAGCCTGCTCTCCTTGCTCACACATTGTAACAATAACAACACAAAAACTTTACAGATTTATCAGCTGAAAGTGAGTCGAGGGTGCAGTTGAGTTCCTGTGAAACAGCTGGTGCAGCTGTTTCACAGGAACTTGTGAAACCTCTTAAACTGAGGATTTATTTTAGCATTACGAATGAATGATAAGAATTTCCTCTGATGTTTATATACTGATTACAAATTATTCTCTCATTGCATTTTCCAGAGTCACTTGAACGAACTGCTGACCAGGAAGTGGCTGACAGGCTCTCATGCTGTGGATACCATCTGTGTGACGGTGGAGGACTATTTCAATGACTTCAACAAGATTAAGAAACCTTTCAATCAGGTAGAAGTTTTGCAAACAGCCGTAGAGTCCAGTGAAATTGAATAACGATGTTTTCAGCATGTAGGTCTGAGCTGTTTGCGTAGCTTCCACAGCTGTAGTGTAACTCTACTCTGAGGACTGACCTGCTCTGTGTGCTGTGTGCAGGAGATGACGAGTGAGGCCCTGCGCAGGGTGGTAGTCGAGTACATTAAAGCAGTGATGCAAAAGAGGATCACTTTTAAAAACCCTGACGAGAGAAAGGAGGGAGCTGAAAGGATGATGAAGGAAGCTGATCAGTTCAAGTTCCTCTTTAGAAAGTTGGCTGCGGTAAGTTCACATGTGTGCAGTGCTCTTTGTTATGGAAATATGTGGACAGTGTGTGCTTCTTCTCTCATTTTGATAATTACGGCTTGTAGCTCATGAAAATCAAAAATCCAGGATCTCGAGTGACTACAATGTTTCAGATTAATCAAAAAAATGAACTACAATAATGTCTGACTTCCTAAGATATATTTCAAATGTATATTAATTTAACATAATACCTCATTCATTTTTATATTGACCTAAATGAGCTCAGACTTGACTCTTTCAAGTTTTGTTTTCGTGTGGATTTTCTACCCTAACTCTAATTAATGTACTGTGAAGAGTTTAACAGCCAAGCAGATGATGCACACGGTCCTCACACAGCAGCACATGAAAATATTCTTAGTTCTCTTTTGTTTTTTAACCATGTAGGGTGAGGACACGGACTGGCTTTGTGGTGCCATCACTGCTATTGCAGAAGTGTTCAAGCTGACTGACCCCACATTGTTGTTCCTGGAGGTCTCCACGCTGGTGTCTAAATATCCTGATATCAGGTACACAGACACATGCTAACGCTGGCTAGCATTCCAGCTGTTGCCAGCATCATTCCCATATTTTCAGCATGGTACTTTAGACATATACAAGAACTGAAATGATGGGATCGTTTTTTATATGGCACATTTACACTAAACATTTTTTTCTCTCACGTTGCTGCTTTCATGGTCATTTGAGGAAATAGCATAAGCTTTAATTGCAGTAGTTACCCTGAAAAAACCTACACAAATAGTGTCACCAGTCAGATCTGAGTTTGAATAAAAGACTTTAGGTTGCTTTTCCTTAAAATAAGGTTTTTACCCACCACAATACATTTCTACTGTAGCTGCACAGTGTCACATGACATTCGTGGCCAAGGAGTGGCTGACAATAATTAACAGTTAAAAAAAAAAAAAGCTGTGAAGTCTGCTAGTAAAATGAAAGAGGACAGTTTGCACAGAGAGTACTTCCTGCTCTGAGACTGATAGAGATGTAACGCTGGATTTATCTGGAAGTATTGAATGTGTCATCAAATTCATTCCTAAAAATCAAAGTACTTATTGTTAGGTGTGTGTTTAGTGTAGGAGTAATGCAACATACTCACATTCATATAGTATTTATTCGTTTTTAAGCTTAACCAACACTTTATTCTATATATCTACCTCACATCCATGCATGCCTTTAGACTGTGGGAGGATGTAGTCAGAGGAAACCACACGCTCACAGGGAGAACATAGAAAGGCCCCAGCCAGGGTTCAAGACACTTTTGCTGCGACAGTGCAGCCATTAGACCACCACGAGTGATGACCCAGACGCGGGCTGCAGGAAGCAGACTTAAAAGAAAGACTCCGTGGCAGTTATAGGGAACCACAATGGAGATCCAGAACTGGTGCTGGGAACCAGGGCAAAGAAATCAAGCAGCTTCTAACAAACTTATAGTGGATTAAATATTCAAGTGTTTGCCTCTCGTGTGCAGGTATAGTTATCAGTTTTATTGTTCCCAATGCTGTGTTTACTGATTTGGAGCTTTAAGTGCACATTAAGCACTAAGTGTATAAAGCTCATTTACTGAGCCCTGCTCTCCAAACCTGACAGAGCTGTAACGGTGTCTGTGTAGCTGGATTTAAGAAGTGCTTACATTTCTGAGTCTTTGGCGCCATCTTCTGTCAGTACACAAGGTTACATCACCAGGTTTAAAACCAACTTTAAGCATTTGTTTCTTAAACCCAGCTTCACAGACAGAATCACATCTGTGTCAGCCTTTGAGAGCGGAGCTCCATGGTGTAAGTTCGCCTTTGTACATGTAGTGCTTCATGTCCACTTTGAAATGCTTCTGGTTAAAGTGCTCTTTGGAAGGAAGACATACAAAGTTAAAACATGAACTGATTAATATTCCACTCTGACTCCAGGTGGGAATTTGCTCCTGACGTCGCAGCGTTAGAAACGAGAGTTTTTCATGCAATCTGTTTACACATCTTGATGAGGGCGTGCACGCTGAATCGTGTTGGTGTTCTTTCTGTTAAGCATGACCGTGCCATGAGAAAAAAGCATTTCAGACTTAGTTTAAAAAGAGAGTGCCTCAACTAATGTTGAAGTGTGCCTGATCACCGAGTGAGCCGTGACAGTGCTACCAAGGCCATCAACACCACGCGGAATACAGCATGTGTCTATAATGAGTTTGCCTATACGTGGCTGAGGTTGTTTGTCCCTCCGGCTCTCTGTAGGGAGGAGCACATCCAGGCGCTGCTTGCTGTGCGTGGTGATGCCAGCAGGGAGATGCGGCAGATGATCATCGGAACACTCAGCGAGAATAAAGTGTCACATTCTGGTGTCACACAGTCCATTTTTAAAGACGTCGCTGTGCCCACCATTGCCATGACGACCATGACTACAATGACCTCCATGGCAACCTCAAAGCTGCTAAAATAAAGCCTATTTCCATGTCCAGCTCCTTCGGTCACACTAGCATAACAAAGGATACTTTGTTTTTCACTGGTTCTTGCAGCCTGTTTTCTGTATTCACTCATTTTGTTCCTTCTTTCCTGATCACATGCCTGCTTAAACAAATACAATTTGTATTGTATAAATGGACTGCATCACAAGACTTTGTCCTGTCCTTTTACTGAACTTCCCTGTGTTACTCTGTTTCTTGTCAGTCATGTTTCTGTACCTTAGCTGTCCCCTGACTTGTGTACAGCATTCAGTTAACTTAGTTTCATTTTTAATAGCCGATACTTCAAATTACCTGTATGGACTGAGCATGAAAAGAAATGGAACAAAAGCAGGATACCTTAAGAGAAAAATAACTCAAGAGGCCGTGGTATTCAAGTGTTTGTTTTTTAATATATTTCATAGAAAGTTCACATGAAAAACACCTGGATCAAAAAGTTCTGGTAACCACCAGAAGCTAGAACCAACCAGACAAAGGTTCCAGAGAATCAGCTGATGCTCTCCTAGTGTAATTCATTCACTGTCATATTTCGGCCGGACCCCATCCTAGATGTTGTGGGACAAGAGGTGGGGTTCAACAACAACAACAACAATCTTTATTTATAGAGCACATTTAAAAGCCTTGGGCATACCAAAGTGCTTTACATAAAACAATAAAGGTTCAAACATTGAACCTTTATTGGACAGATTGGTGACCACGGACAGGTCACCAATCTGTTGCTGAGAGACAACTGTGCACACCTACAGCCAATGAAGCTGGCATGCATGTCTTTGTGGCATGCGTGTTCAAGAAGTTTCTGTATCCAGGTTCTGTACAGTGCTGGTGTTAGACACGGAACATGCTGTGAATACTGACAGTGGGTAAAAGTATACGACAGACGAATTCCCATACGTCTGTTTGGAAATGTTTAATGATTGTCCAAGTCGTCCTGGACACTTCAGCGAGTGGTCAGCAGCTATGCAGCCTGTGTCCGGTGGGCGGCGGTATAGAGACGCTAAGCTTGTTGTTAAGCGTCGTAGCTAAAGAAGACGCGAGGCGGGGAAGAAGAAAGAAACAGGACGTTGTGTTAAATCTGAGAATGTGCAGATTGCTGAAGATGAATAAACCTCTTTAGTTTCTGTCACGTCCCAATTATCAGACCGTGTGTCTGCTCGACAAACCGACTGAGAGTGCAGGCTGCTGATCCTCCGCTGGGTAAGACTGATAGCCTTCACGATATGGCGACTTTTGTTTACTGCCGGCCAGAGCTAGCTTACTTTAGGTTCGCCAAGCAGCTACTGGTACGAGTAGTGTTTCAGCGAGATCGCTTTCTGTTGAATATACTTATGTTTAGTCTTCTCGCTGTTACCATTAGCGGCTCTTTCAGCCCTTGTTAGCCGGGTAGCAGCAGCTACTCTGGGTTCAGAGAAGTGAAGCTCAGTGAGTTTTCGTCCGGTTCAGATGGTAACTGAAAGGCATTCTTCCATTTTACGTTTAAATCTTCTCAGTCTGCCTGTTTTCAGACTATTTATGTAGCTGGCAGATAAAAGTCGAGACACAGCTGTTGGTCTTCATGTTCAGGCCACACGTCTGTGCACAGGAGGGGCTCACAGGGCTGAACTACATCTTTATGTTCAGAATACTGAAAGGTGGAGCTCGGAAGAGTCAAAGTCTTTCAGTTATTTTTAATTTGAAGAGTGGCGCTGCTTTCAAAAAGTTCTGTTCTTGTTGTAATATCTGCACCGATTTTTCTGAATCATGGCATATGCCCTCCATACTTTAATAACGCTCATATAAAAAGACGAATACTAAGGTTGAAATTAAACTAAAGTAACTGAAACGAAACGTTTACAACCACTAAAACTGAAGCGAGCAAGCCCACTCTCCAAATTAAACTGGATTAAAAAGTCCAAATGAAAACTAACTATAAAGTACAACATTATGACTGATCCACAGAATTATAACTCAAAATGATCAGAAGACCTCATAACCTGCCTACACTGAACCAGGGGGGAGCCCTTTTCCACACAGCATCTGATTGAGTGGTAGAGCAGCGAGTGTCCCATCAACAGCATTCGCTCAGGTTTGCTTTGTGATCCTCGCTGCCTCTCTAAAGGAAGAGTTCCACTTACTGGGCCAGTTTTAACCTGTTATTTTAACTAAATTCTCACCAGGTGGGACCTTAAAAGTTACCACAAAGGTTCTTGTTGATAATGTCATTTTTATTTTTAATCCTTTTGTACCAGAGCAGGGATCGGGCTAAGGGCGTCAGTATAGCCTCTGTACTGCTCTATCGCTGCCCGTGGTTAAGGCGCAGGACGCCTCAGATAATACCACCACATGAGTGCTGATATTGGAAGAGAAGAAGTCGCAACTGGAAGCAAGGACTTTGCAAACTTTTTAAACTGTTCCCCTTTAACTCCTGAGCTGGAATATCATTAAAATGGTAATAAAAACCAACACGATCGTATCTTCAACCCGGCTGCAGTGGCAAAAGTCATGAGGTCGAAGCACCAGGTGATGTCACGTCACGCTCTGTGTACAGTGAGCATAAAAACACCATATCACACAGTCCCACCCATTACCCCTGGAAACGCCCTGTGCCAGAGAAATGCATAAATGTTCATTTTAAAAAAGTTTTCAATTCTGTTTTATTTCTAAAACACCAAATCACAACAACAGCTTCGTGTTGTGGGTAAAGACCCAACAGTCACACAAAGGACGTAGTTGCCATCCTGGAAACCACGAGTGAGCCTGCAGCCTGAGAGCAAAGGGCTCTATCAGGCTCATACGGTACTGTCAGGTTTTCAGGTTGAGATCCGCTCTGATTATTCAAGACCTTGTATGTGAGGATCAGGATTTTAAATTCAGCACTGAATTTAACAGGAAGCCAGTATGAGAAGGATGCTCTCCCTTTCTAGTCCCGGTCAGTACTCTTAGTACAGCTTTTTGGATCAGCTGAAGACTTTTCAGATAATAAGGAATTACAGTACTCCACCCTGGAAGTAATTAAATCCTATGAGGCAGCATGGTGGTGCACCTCACAGCAGGAACATCCTGGGAACCAACACCACCATTTCTGTGTGGAGTTTCACAGAATTCCTTTCAGCACCCAGCTGTTTATACTTCTGAAACCTGATTCATCTTGACTTTTATTAAAGCATTCGGTTTCTCTAGAAACTAATGCAACACGCGCTTCACGTTGGAAGGGCCTCTTTGCTGAATAAGGTAATGAAGGAGCCAGTGTAGTTTCGTATCTGTTGTTAAGAGAATCTGATCTAATCTTATTACAGCTGCCACGCAAACACACCTGAGGCACTCGGCTCAGTCTGGAACATTTCTTAACAAATTGATTGTTTGACTGCGATCCCACAAAAAGACTTCCTCAAATCCAAAGTCTTCCAGAGAGGCATGAATTCAATATTTCTGCAGACTTTCTCACTGCTAAGTCGATCAAGCTAATAAGCAGTGGCTGTCTTCACTGTTTCAGGTTCACCAGGCTCTCTGAAGTTTCTCCAGTCATCCACTCATCATGGTGGAGTACTACCAGGTTTTAGGAGTACGGAAGGATGCGTCTGCAGATGACATAAAGAAAGCGTGAGTTGAAGTTTTAAATGTGGTCCTAGCTGAGAACCTGCACAGAGATGCCATCGCCTGCAGTTTTCTCAGGCTGTGTCTGGTTCTTTATTAACAAACTGCTGAAGGAGTTCAAGCTAACAGGTCAATGCTGCAGAGCTGCGTCACATCTGCACCACCTGGGAGCTGAATGAACTATCCTTTGTGAGAAGAGTAATAGTTTCCCCTCTGACATGTACATGAATAACGTGACGCGTAACATAGCGCTGTGCAGCGTGCTTCGAGGCTTCAGCTGGCACATGGCGGCACATTTCACTTTGAAACCTGGTCAGAAAATTCAGATCAGAAGTGCTCATGTTTTGCTCTTTTACATCTGTACTTTTTCATTGATGGTAAAAGCCACGCTTTCATTGTTTTCACTGCAACAGCACCTTTTACTTCTGGTGTGCAGGTACAGAAAGCTGGCCCTGAGGTGGCACCCAGATAAAAACCCAGAGAACAAAGAGGAGGCTGAGAAGAAGTTCAAGGAGTTGTCGGAGGCTTATGAAGTCCTGTCTGATGGTTTGTATCACATCTGTGTGTGACGGTGTGTTTTCAGTGAAAACACACGACTCTGTCTCTTCGGTGATCCTTGTATTTCTGTATTGTATTTATTACTGTTTTCGAAGGAGCTTGCAAAGAAAACAGACATATTACTGTTTTCCCACAGTTTGTTTTCAGCTTTTGAAACTTGTCACTTTCCTGTTTTAGCAAACAAGAGGAGTATATATGATCGTTATGGCAAAGAGGGGCTGACAGGGAGCAACGGTGGAAGAGGTAAGCATCTCTTTTTAAATGCACCTGGAACTTTGTTTGCTTGGTTTGAACACTGGCACGAGATCACATTTACAGCATTTTTAGAAAGAAAGAAAGTGTACTTTATTGGTCCCCGTGGGGAAAATCCCTCTCTGCATTTAACCCATTCACTCAGTGAAGCAGTGGGCAGCCACTGGGCGCCCGGGGAGCAGTGTGTAGGGACGGTACCTTGCTCAGGGGTACCTCAGGGTAGCTGTTCAGGGGAATCGAACCCCCGACCTTCCGATCATGGGGCCACCACTCTACCTACTGAGCTATCCTGCCCCCTTTACGATGTGATCGCGTTCACTTTAACATTTTCCATGGAGATTGTCAAATCGTGCACAGGGGGATGGAACTTCCAGTTCCCGTTATCAATTCCCTTCCACAGAATAATTGCATGCTGTGTTTCAAATGTTTGTGCATGTTGGAGGTGCTTCCCCTCTTTGTTGTGATCAGTGCTGGGCCCATCACTCAGTCATTATTGCACATATTACACACACTTTTCTTAAAAGTAATGCAGTACACTACTCATGCACTCTCATCCTTTTGTATAATAAAAATGAATGTCCACGCTGGAGACTGCGTCACTATTTCCCTCCAGCGACACACGAAATCAGCTGATCATAGTGAGAGTGCGAGACCTGATAAGCGGCATCGTTAGGCGGGCAGATTTAACCATTCCAAGGAATTGGAATTATTTTCCGGCTCCGGCCGGATGTACACTTTTAACATCACTTTTGACTGACTTGATGTTTCAGGGGCGCACTTCCACAATGGAGAGCATTTCCATGAACCTTTCACGTTCCGTAACCCAGAAGATGTTTTCAGGGAATTCTTTGGTGCCAGAGACCCGTTTGCAGACTTTTTTGGTAAGACCTCCGTTCAGCTGAACAAAGCTGCATCACTGAGTCTGTGACTGCGTCCAGCTTTGAGCTGCATGTTTGAAGACTTTGGGCCTCCTGCTGTGTTTCTCAGTTATTCTTGCGCTCTGACTCTTTCTCCTCTCAGGTGCAGATCCATTTAGTGATGACTCGTTTTTTGGTAGTGGCCGGCGGCACCAAAGCCGGGCAAGTCGTAGCCGGACAGGTGGCCCTTTTTTGGGGGGCTTTGGTTTCCCAGCCTTCGGTGCCGGCTTCTCCCCTTTTGACCCAGGTAAGCTGTTAGCCAGCGTAAAGCTCCCGCTGCTGCAGAGTGGCTTCAAAACTGTTGGCAACGTTGATCTTTTGCTTAAATGAATTAAACAGATCAACTTCTTGCTTTTAGCCTTTGGTTCTTTTGGCTCCATGAGCGCCGTGGGTCATATCGGTCACATGGGTCACATGACAACAATGGGCAGTATGGGAGGAGGCGGCTTCACCTCTTTCTCATCAACCTCTTTTGGAGGAGGAGGTGGAGGAAGCATGGGCAACTTTCGATCTGTGTCTACCTCCACCAAGACCGTCAACGGCAGGAAGATCACTACTAAAAGGTACTGACCTGCCAGATAGCATGTGACAAAATCTTCACATAGCAGTGATGTGCATCGTACGGTTAACGTGTTCTCAGTTATCGTGCACAAATCTTTATTCCGTCCTGTGGTGTCATCAGTGAGCTCAGCTTCCGTGTCGCCCAATTCTAAACCAAACAGTCGTGCGAACTTTAATGAGAGATGAACACAAATCATCGCGTCCTGGTGTAGCAACACAGTGAGGCCTTTCAATGCATCACTTGTCAGGGAAGCAGCTGTTTGAGCAGCTTTTCACAGGTTAAAAATGAAGCGAGAGCAGCTGGCCGACACCGATTCTCAGAGGAATTCTGAGGAATTTTAGGAATGTCCTCAGCTGGATGTATGAAAACTGAATGCTTTTTAATCACAGCTGAGATCAGTCAGATTAGGCTGAAGGTTTCCTGGTATCAGCTTTGCAGACGTTGGTTGAGGTTTAGTACAGCGGCGATCTTGTAGTAATAGTCTCATCACAGGGCAGCCATCTTTGTAATGTCCATGTGTTCCTGGTCTGTGAGCGGGAAGAAGCCCACAATCTTTATACTTATAGTCACTTTGATGTAAACAAACCGTTCACGTTCTGTAACCCAGAAGATTTCCAGTGTTTCCAGTGCATGTAACCTGTTGTGTGGATGTCCAACAACATAACTGGCTCTATGTTTTCTGAGTTCTGTTCTGGACCCCTTGAGTGGCACGTTTGTCACTGATGGTTGTGAACTGCTGTGGAAATCGTATCAATCAGAAAAGGTCTAAGCTTTCTGCCACAGGTTTTTCCTGACTGCTATCAGCACCGTGTACGGATGTTTGCATCGCAAAAGCCAGATGATCGGAGGTGATATGAATAAATGCTTCATGCTTTCTGCCAGTTTAAGGTCGCCTTATTACTTACCATTATTTAACATTTTTTGTTTCTTACCTTTCCACAGAGTCACAGTTTAATCAGACGTGGCTTATTGCATTTTGAATCCCTGATGTTTATAAAGTGATCTAAACGTGGTCTGATAGATGATCGATGATGAATGTTTTTGGACAGTCTTACTGTGAATTTAAAATCGAGACTTGGATCAGTCCTGTACATTTGTGCCTTTAACTCTTCACGGTGTTCCTGTGTGCAGGTTACACTTTCCATACAGGTGCTCACATTCACACAGTTTCTTTTTTTATTGGTTTAAATCAATTCCAACTTCTGCCTGCAAACGACACATCAAATCATTTCAAACTGAACCAACATGAACATGGGGTGGCTGTAGCAGGCGGTAGAGCCGGTCATCCACTGATCGGAAGCTTGGTGGTTCGATTCCTGGCAGTCTACATGCCAAATATCCTTGGGCAAGATACTAACCCCAAATGAATGTGTGTGAATGTTAGCTATGAAGTGAATGCACAAGTTGTGCAAAGCGCTTTGAGTGCTCAGATGAGCAGAAAAGCGCTCTATAAGAACCATTTACCATGAAACATTTGTCAAATTGCGACCTCGGAGTGGAAAAGATCCGTTGCTTGAATCGGTGTATAGAAGCAGCCAGAGGTGTTTCCGGTGTAATTTTCAGCGCTTTGTTCAGTACAACAGCATCAAGAAGAAAGAGCCAAACACACTTTTGCCATTTAATTTGGAGGGAAGTTTCCAAAAAACCCAGTGTGCAAAAAAACACTTGTATTTTTATTTTTTATTCCTATTTATTCTATTTATCCCCTTCGTATATTTTATTTATATTGTCTCTGTATTTATATGTGTGTGTGTGTGTGTGTGTGTGTGTGTGTGTGTTTTTTTCTATTTATCCCTTCGTATATTTATTTATATTTGTCTCTGTATTTATATTGTATGTGTGTGTGTGTATATATATAATATATATAATTATATTATTTATAAATATATATATTATATATAAAATTTAATACTCTGTAACTTCTGGTCGGTTGCTGTGCTTTTTTGGAAATCGAATTTCCCAGAGGAACCCACCCGAGGGATTAATAAAGTTCTATCTTATCTTATCTTAACAGCTCTTTTTTTTGAAGTGTAGGCAGAAGTTAAGGAGAGTAGGAAGGAAGTAGGAGGTGAGGCTTAGTTAGACTCATGTTTACACCTGCCTAATCATCATCTCAGCAGACTAAACACTGCACCAGCAGACGAGCGGTACGAATGCTGCTCCCATTTACGTGTAAACGGATTTTCACGATTAAGATGGTGTAATGCTCTCTGTTTCTGCAGAATTGTAGAGAACGGTCAGGAGAGAGTTGAGGTGGAAGAGGACGGCCGGCTACGCTCATTAACCATTAATGGCAAAGAGCAGCTGCTGCGACTGGAACACAAGTGAAGACACGCAAACATCCTCCACTGGAGACGTGTTACCTCAGTACCGAGATCCCAATAAAACTTGAGCTCACAGTGGAATAAACAAAGCAACAAAACAATGTAACAATAGCTGTGTTTCATTAGTTGGTTACTTACGTTGTGCTGTTCCATTCATGTCCTTCCCCTGCTGACTCTCATTTGTTAACCAACACTTTGACTCCAAGGGTTTTCTATGCATTTAGTTGTTGTCTATGAATCGAAGCCGTCCTTTATTTTTGCTCAGGGTGGTGTTATTTTAACGTTTGGGACCACAGTATTGTTTTGATGTTCTTCCCCATTTCAGTACTTTGAGCTTCGCGTCATCCACATCGAGGCGTGACTTTGCTCTTTCATCTGAATCGGAAAAAAAATGATTTTCATTTCGAAACGTGGGTCAGAAGTTTCTATCCCAGCACCCCACGTTTATTGCGTGTCTAACCGATTCTTAATTTATTTATTTTTATTAAAAACACAATGCTGGTAGGATGTGTTTTGCAATTTTATATGTTCTAATACCTGTGTGTTTCTGTTTATTTAATGATGCATGTATACCTGTTGATGTCAAGTCTTAATGTCAAAGCTTTTGATGGAAGGCGTTCCATAAATGACAAATGAATATGGAAGGAATTTTGTGTACTTTGTAAACCAATAAATCTTGAGTTTCATCCTGTTTTCAGGATGTTGAAATATTCGCTGGCTCTGGCTTTAAGTTTTCAGGGATTCAGATGAACAGCTTCTGTTTCAGTGTCCATCGTGGTTAAAAACTCGTTGGTCTCTTTATTTATTCAGTCTGTGTTGAAATGAATAGTTTCTCAGGTGTATCGGTCAGCAGTATTATAACGATTGTACCACCATGAAATATTTTACAGTAGCTTAATTCCTTGCTTGCAGATTTAGTGATTTACTCGTCGTTACACAGGCCTGGATTACATCACATCTTCGGCCTGAGAACCGAGGAAAAATGAATCTTCCCATTGAACTTTGTGGTTTCCTTCCTCTTTGGAGCTAAAACAGGCCACACATTTAGTCTTAAACCTTAAAGGGGTATTAGTGACCACAGTGAAAACATCAAGTATTTTAGTATATTCCTACCACATTCTCTCTGAGCTGCCTCAGAGTTGACTATTTATTTTATGTTAGAACAAAAATCAAAAACATGTTGGTTGTGCCAAATGACTCTAGTCCCCTAACGAAAGAAGCATACCTGTCTGCTGACGTGATCTGTTTGCACCAGCACCTTCAGGGGAATATGCTTTTCTTTTAACTGGCACATCAGCAGCTGTCCAGAACTGACTTCTTCATCGTGAACATCCTGTGTGACACTGAAAAACATTCAATGCGTTTGTCATTATGCATGCTCAATCCTCCAGGTAAGTAAATCCCAAGAGGTCGATTTTGTCCACCTGGACGTCTTCAGTGGGAGAAACATTTCGTCACTCATCCAGGTGGCTTCTTCGGTCTCAGCTGACTGCAGGTTTCCAACCTTATAACAGTACATTTGCACAACTGGTCCAGCCCACTGAATCAACAAGGGGCTGTGAGGTCAGCTCCTGGATCATTAATATGCAAATTGTCATGACCACTGATCAAAGACGGTGAGTAGCATTCACACAGAGTTGGGGAATGGCTGCAATCACAGCATTGTAAGATGGTGACAGATGGACCCTCAGGTACATCTTCCTCGTTTCAGAGATGGTCTTTTCCTTGGCCTCCTTGGTTCCTCACTCAAACCAGCGTTCCTCCCTGTCCAGGATTTGCATATTAATGATCAAGGAACTGACCTCACAGCCTCTTGTTCATTCAACATGCCACATTCACTCAAGCACTTTCTTCTATGGTTTTAAGTGCTTACTAACATTCATTGATACTCTGATGGATGTATCGCAGAGCAACTTACGGTTAGTATCTTCCCCAAGGATATTTGGCATGCAGACCAAGAGAGCAAAGTTGGAAACACCAACCCTCGGATCAGTAGATGAGCTGCTCTACCTCCTGAGCTACACTGTCACTGATGTCAGACAAGAAATTATTCTCTGGATCTGTGTCTTTTTCAAAGCCCAGTACGTTATGGTCTGTTTATCTAAATGATCCCATTTATCATATACAGAATTCCACTGAATGATATTGTTATTGTTGCCAGAGGTGGATGACGTTCTTTCAGACGGTGCCCTATGATTGTTGTGGTCACGTCAGTTCATCATTCCAGTATATGATGGACAACATTGTCCAGTTCCTCCATGCGGCTGATGGATCCATTGAGTTTAATGAATACTTTACAGTTTGTGGTTCAAGTGTGTTGAATTTTTCCCCGTGCTTCCCTGTTTCCTGTCCCCAAATATTATTTTTATGTATTTGTAGCAAAAATGTACATAACTTTGTGTTTGTCTTTGTGTTCAGAGATCTGATTAGTATCGAGGAGTTTGTCAATATCAGCTGCATCACGTTGGCCGTGCTCTGCATTATTTACTGTTAGGACTAACTGGCTTAAGGGTAGATTGCAGAGAAGAGGGCAGCAGTGTGTCAGAGCTCAACCACAGATTGTTTGCTTTCCAGCTGCTCTCAGGTGAAAGAGAAACTCGCTACGCTTTCATCACACAACCAGTTCAACCACCAGTGCAATGAGCTAACTAGGTAGCTCCTTGTGATCCTCCAGCTTCAGGAAATCACATCGACATCTTTTAAGGAAGAAGTTCATGTCTGTCTGCTGAGCTTCATCCTTTCTGTTGCAAATGTGATGTTCAGTATGTTCAGTGCGTTCTGTGTGAGTATTGCAACATCATCCTACTGGTGGTGATCACATGTCACAGTCTTTTGCCATGAATGACCTGTTAATCCGAGTTACTGAAGGAAAGGCCACCACTGTGTAAGGGCGC